TATAAATCTGCTAAGGGCAGGTAAAATGTCCACCATGTGTCCACCATGCAGGAACTAAGTGTGAGAAAGTAGAAAAACTTTTATTTTTATTTTTCTAGTCTGATAAACCTAAGGACTGATTAAAGATAAAGTACATTCAATTATCAGTTTTTCTAATGCTATTGCTTTTATTGTTTTCATTTTTATACTATAGATCACATTTTGATAAAAAGGTAAATAGTGAAACTGTTTTATAATAATTTACTTTTGATAAAGTTATATAACTTTCTTTTAATAACATAATAATATATCTTAATAAAAATATATTTTACACAATTCTAAAATTTCTTTTTAGTATATGATGTATAAATGTTTTAATTTATTTAATAAAAATTCAATAAAAGATATAAACTTACTAGATGTGCAAACCTCTTCATTACAGGGTTCGTTTTCTTCTTCTTTTCCATCACAATAAGCACCAACCTTTTTGGGAGTATTACATGTGCGACTTCTAGACCTAACACCTCCATCGCATGTAGCACTGCATTCTGTCCATTGGCTCCACTCACTCCAATATCCATTTGCAGAATACTTTTCATCTATAAAAAATAAAAACAGCAATTAAAACACTATGAGAATTATGTATTTAAGGGTAATTTTAACCACAATTTTTTTTTTTTTCGAATATTATAATAAACCGTAACTATTTAATTCTGATCAAAATATATGAACATTCTCAAATAGTAAAATAAAATGGCAATATTAAAATGAAACCAACTGAAGGCTGCACCTAATTCCTCAAAATTTCAATAACTAATGATAGAAAATTCATAATATAATATATATATATATATATATATATATATATATATATATATATATTATTTATAAATTTGTTTGTGTTAAAAATATGTACATTTGTAAGACAAAACTAACACCAAAAACTTAAATATCTTCTTAAATAGCTTCCATCAACACTTAAGGTTTCAAACTCTTTTTCCCAATTATAATTATTAAAGTTACTTTTTTCTTAATTCTTTATATTTGCCTTTGTTGAACAGATGTTTTGTTTGATAGTCTTTATTAACTTTGTCTATTACACTATATTTCAATACATGATGCCATGTTCTTAGTTTCCATAGAGTGGTGTATTTTCTAACATACAAATTTTGTGACGAGATTCAGTTAATACTAGAACATTTGTTGTTTCACTGACACTTTTTTGATTTTTTTGAAATTGGTAAAATTGCATTTTGGAATACATAGTTTTTTGTTTAAATAATCCATAAATAACTGAGCTCCTTTTTTTGTACTATTGTACCTATATTATCTTAATTCCATTTTATCGTACAAAAATTAAAATCACTCCATATCAGAAAACTACTGTATTTTTTGTTGTTTACTAAATTTGATGCATACCTTAATGATTTGACCATATTTTCACATTAAAACAAACCACTATCTGCAGTACAGTAAATACAGCCACATTTGCTTTCATTACCACATTCTATTACACACCATATTGCTTCAATATCATCATTTGCATTTAAATTTTTATAAATAATTTCATATGACTTTAAATTGTTGGTAACATAAATACAAACACCGCCACCCTTTGTTTACAATTTTTTCTATAAAGTGAATAACTTTCTATGTTAGTCGATGAGGCATGTATCCACCATGCCTCACATACCATCATAACTTGTAGTTTTTTGTTTTTAATTTCTATAATTCTTCATATTTGTCGTTTAATGATGTTGAATTGGTGTACTAACATGACAGATAGGGTTTTTATTTTTTTAATTTTTTTTTCAACATTTTTTATTTTTTTAGTTATTAAATAAACTTTAATCGTTTTGAAAAGTTATACTGGGTACAACCTTTGGCTGTATTTTGCAATATGTGATCAAATTAAGTCATGATTTTGTCATGTCATAAACTGTACAGTTACATTAACAGAAGAAAAAATAATAACAAAAAATATATAGAAACATTCAAGTACCCAAATATATGATAATTTTTTTTTTATATATTTGTCTTTTAGATAATCATATTAGCTATTTATGTTGTTTTAAATTCCAGCTTCTAAATGAAAAAAGAAGTATAAAAATTCACACACTGAAATGGAGTTCTCCAGTAGAATAATGGAGTCACATTTTATGGAATGACAAGTAGAAATTTAACTTGCACCATTCAAGTGAAAAAAATATGTAAGAATCCCAAAATGCAAGCAATTAAGTTCAAAGTATACAAGAGCTATTTTTAAACATTTGATTAAATCATAAATTGATTAAATCAACCTAACATCATTGTCGAGCAGTTATAAAAAATATATATATATGCTATATAATATTGCTATTAGCAAGGTTTTAAGTTAAATTTTTAAAGTTGCTTTAATTTTCTTTACATAAAAGCCTTTCTAAATATTTTTTTGTTTTGTTTTCTTATTATTGCTTATTAATTATTACTATATTTATTCTATTTATATTATTTAAATGAACAATATTTTTTTCTGTAAGTTTTCATGTTTTACATATGTTTAAAACTTTAGATTTAAAGTATTTTATGTACAATAAATTATATTTCCACATAAATTTTCAAAAATGACAAAAAACCTTTGCAGGACCACATCTGTTGTGTTCTTTAAGAGAGACCTAAATGATTATTTACATTAAGTTAATTTAATATCTTTTCTTTCAATTAGAGTTGCAAAAACGCGCAACCCATCGTAATGGAACTGAAAATTTGTCTGATTAAATCAAAAAATGAACTTTAAAAATTCTAAACTCAGCTACCATCTTTAAATATTTTAGTTCAGCACCTTCAAAAATGAGCAGGTATCAATTTTCAGCCAGTTTCTTTCGCCCAAACTTTCAGTTTCTTTCACCTAAACTTAAATTATTTATGAAAGGTTACTTATACAAATGCCATATTGGCAGCAGTGGTGAAAATTGGCATTTTACGCTGAGTTTTAAAACTTCATAACTTTTAAACCATTTAGAGGTTAAATTATTTTCAAACCATTTGATTGATGCCACCAGTTGACTTGATGTGCTTAATGATATAAATTTAGATTTGCCATCTTTTAATAAAAGTTGTAATTCTAAAAGAAGCCATTCTCTAAGATAATAATAATCGATTTATACATGATACTTATGTAGAGCATATAAGATGTTTTATTATTGGTTAATACCTATGAAATCGCTCACACAAACCATTATTGTTTAGAGCGTGCCAGCATGTCTATTTTGCATTTTTAAGAAAATATCTTAATAATTATGAGTGTAAATATATCAACTAACTTAAATATGGAGACATGTAAGGAGTGCTTTTTATAAAATAATACCATTTAATTAGTTTTTTTAATGATTTTAACGATTTTTACATAATCTACACTCAAATAAAGACATATCAATCACAAAGAGCAGCTATGAGATGTTTTTTTACCATAATCAGTATACATTAATCATTAATATTTGTTATATATAAATATCTACTATAGTGTATACAGATATACATTTGGTGACTTTCTAAGTTGACTAAATCTATAACATTTTTCAGAATAAAAAAAACAAAGAATAATGAAAAAAATAAAGTAGGCATGTATACCATAAAGTAATTTAACTCAATATTTCTATACAATCATCATACTCAATCTACATCTGTAGTCACGCTTATAAATTGAAAAAGATTTTTTGTACAACAGGCGTGCAAAAAATTTTTTTTTATTATGCAAGTGACAAATTTGTGGAATAGACTACAATCTGAAATAGTATGTTCAACATCTGTCACAGCAATCAAAAAACATTTAGATGCTTATTGGAAACATTAAATGTACAAGTATATATAAGTATTTTTTAAATGTATAAATATAAATAATGTAAAAGTATATATAAGGTTGATAGGTTAGTTTACTATGACAAAATATGCTGTTTGTAAAATCATAACCTCAGTTAATAATCATATATAAGCAAATATTGAAAAAAATGCTAAAATTACCTTTTACAAAGCTGTAAATATAGTTTGTATTTGTTTTACCAACGCATGTTTCAGAAGAGGAATCATTACATCTCTTAAAATCTTCACTGATACAGTTTGTTGAACGTTCACCTCGATTATTGTGCGTAAGCAAAGATCCACTCCAACATTTTCCGAAAAAATAAAGGCCAAAGAACTTGTATCCAAATAATTTAGCTTTTTCTGCACACAAACAAGCAAGTCTGAAAATTTTAAATGCAAGTTTGAAAACATTGAAATCTTTGTTAAAATATTTCGAAAACAAATATGACATTTAGGCATTTACTGATAACTTATATAAATGTTTACATTTTCTTCATGTTATATATGTTGTTTACATTTTCTTCATATTTAAATTTGCTTTTACCTGGGACAAGTTGCATAATCTAGAAGAATAACCTAGATGATTTGTGATGATGAATACCAGGTCATCATTACAAAATTTTTCCAAATTGTAATGATAATAATAATATATATTTATTTAGAGGGCGGAATTTACTCTAGTATGGAGCTCCTGAACCATGTTGAGGTTGCTCCTCTCCCTGTAAGGGCTTTTTAGGGGTGTGACCCCCAGAAAATTTTTGGAATTCAAAATTGCTGTATTTGAGTTTTCACACTATTTAATGATGGAAAAGTGATTTTTTGAAAAAAAAGCAAAGATACTTAAGCTACAGCTATGTTGTGATTTAGATCTCATTTACTCATCTGTAGCAGACAGCAACATCAATAACTGTTTTTAACAGTTTACAATTTTGAAAATTTTCAGTAAACCAGCAAAAGTAAAAAGCGTTTTTATGATTAACTGCTCAAAGGTAAAGGTACACAACAGTACATAAATGTTGTCAAGCCAGACATTTGATAACTATTGTATATTTGACTACAGTCTATTATTAGCGGCTACTTAATATCAAATAACAGTATATCTAAAACTATTGCTTAAAATTCTTTCTTTAGAAATTGTTTTTAAAATTTTAAATTAAAACTTGTGTTGTGTGCCCCTGTGCTGAGGGGAACAGCCTGTCCATGCTTAAATCTGGACCTGTGTATAAACATATTATAAACCAGAGTCAATGATTATAACCATAAACAATGAGTTATTAACAACTTCTTCCCTTGATCAATTTAAAAATAAACTTAAACAAAAACTTTTGATAATTGACAACAAAGTTTGTTGTCAATTATCAAAAGTTTTTGTTATTTAAAAATTATTTAAAAGTTTTAGAAAAAGTCCAGTTTGTCAAACTGGACTTTTTTTAAAACTTTTAAATAGAAGTAATCACTTGTTTTTTACTTGTTTTTTGATACATTCTTAATCATATTTTTTTTTTTTTAACATCTTCGCTTTCAACAAGGCTGCAAGCAACCACTAATCAGTGTTGGAAGTTACTGGAAGAGAAAAGAAAACTATAAAACTGAGTTTTAGAGCTGTACTCTCATTTGGAGATAATAGAATGAGTTGCCTAGTCATAAAAACAGAGACACAAGCAAAACCCATGCATCGAGTCAAGAAGATCCAGCGTTCAACATCCTAAACTGGAAGTAATGTATTAAAAATACATCTGCGCTAGCCTAATAGATGGAGAAGGGGTGCGAGGCTGGTCAACAGATAGAATCTGTTTACCCCTTAAGCCTTTGCCTAGGAGGCCTTCTACAAGACAGCAGCCGGATACATTTAACCTCTGCCTAAAATGAGTATTTTTATCGAGACATATTTATTCTTGATCTAAATCTTTATAAATCTGAAATATAAATAACTGTAACAATAATATGTTTTATAAAATGTGTGTTTATAAATGTGTAAATGAATACCTATATCTTTCTTTTATATTATTTTCAATTTTTATACTATAATTTTGTGTATTGTATAATAGAGTTTCTAAAAAATTTATTTAATATGAAGTATACTTAAATATATAAATATTATTTATAATACTAGCTTCAAACTTCCCATCTTTTGTTGTTCATGTTTTATCTTCTTTTTATTTATTTGAAAGTTGAAACCTTAATTAATAAAAGTTAAAAATAATAATAACAAAAATAAAATCTTTTTATATTTTTATCTTTATTTGTATTTTTTGCATATATTACATTGTGATGTAATGAAAATGTATAATTTAACGACATAACGTAATTTTTCATTTATATTTATATTTTAAAGAGGCTTGGCAATAAGACTGAATTTGACTTCTTTTTGTCCCAACTGTATATTTACTATTTGTGATAAACAATTTTCTAAATTTCTCTTTATCATGAATTTTACATAAAAATAATAATAATAGAGATGTATTCAAGACAGTAAAGGACAAGACCAAGACTAAAACCAAGATATTACGATGCAATACTAATACCAAGACTTGATCTTGGTTTTAGTATTGCTTGTAAAATCAAACTAAGTTTCACTATTTATAACAATTTTTGTGATAATTTGTTGCTGGAGCGTATTTGGATTCTGAACTTTAAATTAAATTTATAGCTGCATGAATTTATAGCAGCACGAATAATTATATATGATCTACTTGGGTTTATTTGGTTTGGGTTTGGGTTTTTTTGGACCTTTTAATGTTCAAAACTTACATTTTGCATGAATAAGTAGTGAAAATGAAAAAAAAACTAAAAAACAACAAAACCCACTTAATGTTGATAAATCAGACAAAGAGAGTGGTTATTCAATATTGAATTTAAAAACTTCAGTCTTTAATTGCATTGAATATGAAACTAGTATTCATGGAAAAAGTGTTGAATGTGGAGTATGTTAAGAATGAGTATGTAAAGAATGGTACTATCTTTAATGTAGTAAACTCTCTAATGATGACTTTAATGCAATTAAACTAAAAAAATCTAGAATTATAGGATTTTGTTTTGAATGTGAAAAAAACTTTAAAAATTAATAAAATGAATAAAAAAAATAAAAAAGTGAAGTATACATTTATAAAAGAATTATATACTCATAACAAAATATTAAAGAAAAAAATCACAGAACTAAAAAAAGAAAGAAATCACATAACTAAACACATATCTAAAAATTGAAAATGAGTTAATGAAAAAAGAGAAAGTTAAAATAAAAATAAAATTATTTCCAATATTATCAAGTGATGTAAATAGTATATCTGAAAGGACAAGAAAAAAATTAACAATCAGGATAAAATAAATACAAAGAAGTTGATTATGGACAATATCAAACCAAAAAAAAAAGGAGTGGAAATTCATCATATTCGAAATCAAAGTAATCATACATTACAATGACAGAAAATCTAAAGATAAACTATATCAGAAAATTAAAGGTAAATTAGGTGTTAATGTCTGAGTACACCTGGTTTTTTGATGCTTGAATATACAATTCATTCAAAAAATGTTATCAATTTTGGTGACTTCAACATAAATATACTTTCATATGACAAACACTTTATAAAACTAAAGCAACCTATCAAAAATATTGAATTGTATATTTTCAACAGTAAACCAACAAAAATATCTGAAAAAACTAGTACTTGATTTAGCAACTACTAATTGCACTCTTATTAAAACTAATGAAAAAGAAAAACTTTCTGACCATGAAATGATTACTTGTAAATACTCTTTCATAGAAAAAAGACAATTCAAAACTAAAAAAGCAAATAATATTGTTGTCAATAGTAGTTAACTAAAATTCCATTAAATTGATTATTCTTTATTAAATAAAAACATTTTAATTGAATTAACTAATATATAAGAAGAACTGATATTGAAGTAATGGCTAATAGTTATACAAAAATGATTAAAAATAACATAAATATACAAGATAAAATTTATAAAATGAATAATGAAATCAATAACAACAATCCATCGAACCACAATAACTAGTTAAGAAATTCTAAATATACAGATGCAGTAAAAGAATATAATCAATAATGGAAAACATGTTTAGTTGAAATACCATGACTATAGTGAAAGAGAATGTAAAATACAATATAGCAAATTTAAAAAAATAAAAAAATAAAAAAACATCACTATTAAGAAAACTAAAAGCTGAATACTATAAAATAAAAATTGATTCAGTCAAAAATGATCCAAAAGCTATGTGGAATTCGTTGAAACATTTAACAACCATCCAACCATTAATCAAATCAAATATAATGGAAGATATAAAATTTAAAAAAAAACTTAAAGAGTTATTAAAGAAATGAAACAAAAAATATCCACTCCAGATAAATTTAATGTACTTTTAACCCAAAGTACCATAGATATTGAAACATTAATTTAAAGTGATATATTCCTGGTTTTTATGAATTTACACCATTAACTATGCAAGACTTGAATGATATAGTAAAACAAATACAAAACAAGAATTCAATGTGTGAAAAAGAATCTAAGAAAATGATGGGAGGGCTTTAATGTTATTATCTTCAAAGAATTTCTTCATTTTTAGGTATTTTATTAAAAATTATTATCTTATTGTTAAAGACTGGGAAAGTTCTTTCTATATGGAAAAAAATCAACAATTATTCCAATTCCAAAATTAGTATTTGTATCACAAAATTTAAGATTGGAAGCAATCGATATGTGTCTAACACAACTACCAATCTTGCCTAAAAAATCATTAAATACATCAGATGAATCTTGTGAATCAATCAATATTTCAGATGACTCACTAGATCAAGAATTATCTGAACTTTGCAATCATGGTTCTTCAGGAGATGAATTTTAAATAACTAAACCTGAAATTAAACTGTTGTTTTCTATTAAACTTTGAATTCAAATTTTTACTGAATAAAAATTTGAAAACAATACCAAACCCTATGGGATACCTAAGTTAGGTATCCCATACATATTAATAAAGTAGTCTGGTTACACAGTACATAAAAAAAATAACTGTTGTTTTTTATCTAATTTTAAATAATAGTGAAATTTGGTTCGCCGTTTTACTAATCAAAAAGATCTATATTTTCTTAGCTCTTTCGCTGATGTCTCTGGTCTCACAAAATTAGTAAACCTTAAGAATGTGTTAAAGTCCAAAAAAACCCAAACCCAAACCAAATAAACCCAAAAAACCCAAAAAAATGCCAAAAACAAAACAAAAAAACGCCAAAAAAATCAAAAAAACATGTTTATATATATATATATATATATATATATATATATATATATATATATATATATATATATATATATATATATATATATATATATATATATATATATATATATATATATATATATATATATATATATATATATATATATATATATACACAAAACACATATATATACAAAACAAAAATTTGCAAAAAGGTTGGTTTTTACAAATGTGTTTTGTATATATATATATATAATATATATATATATATATATATATATATATATATATATATATATATATATATATATATATATATATATATATATACATATATATATATATATATATATATATATATATATATATATATATATATATATATATATATATATATATAATATATATATATATATATATATATATGTATATATATATATATATATATATATATATATATAATATATATATATATATATATATATATATATATATATATATATATATATATATATATACACAAAACACATTTGCAAAAAGGTTTGATTACAAATAAGTAATCAAAATCTACAATTTTGATTACTTATTTGTCACAAGCTGAAAATAAAAGTACTTTAAAAAAATAGTTTTATAAGATACAACAATTAAAAGATATGGAAGAACTAATTAAAAATCTCAAGAAATATACTCATTGGAAAAAATGTCTTTGAAAGATCTTTTTTTCTTCAAGACATTTTAATTATATTTCAATTAGTTCTTTAGGATTTACAATTTGCTGGTTCACAAAACCTGCAAATAATGGTAGATCTTATATATTTTAATGAAGAAATATTCATAAATTTAGATTGCCACCAAAATAGACTATTGTCAGTTAAAAAATTAGTAAATTGAACAACTATTCTCAACATCATAAACAACTTACAATTTGTAAATGAGTTGCCAGCTTAATTATGTGGACAGGATACAAAACTAGTTTGTAACATTCTTAATATTATCCAGGCCTTCATCAGTACATGGTCATACCTTTTTGTCGACATACTGTGTATTTAAATGTAATATTCAAACCAATTGATCAATTGTCTTGCAGCTGCTTTTATCATCATTCATTACATCATAGTATTTTGTAACACCAAGTATTCATATTTTTTGTTAAGCGGTTCATTATTATCATTTAATAACTTCACTCAAGCAGTTATACACTAATTTATTTTTTTGAACTTTTGTTTAAAACTAATTGGAATTTCTTTATAACTTAATTGACCAATAAATTGATTTAAAATACTAATAATAATAAACAGACAAGGTGGTGAAACAATGTTTTAATAATAACCAATAATTGATTTATATCCCTCAATGAAACAATCTAGATTAAAGTAATAACATGTTTGAAGAACTGCTTGTGCTGTTCTTAACTGTTTTTTATTTTCTATTTTTGTTGTAGTTATATGATCTGAATTTTATGACAATAAAGTAAAAGTAAAAAAAAAAAATTCTTTGATAATTATTTGAAAAAAATTATGTGCTTCATTTAAAAAAGATTTTACATTAAGTACACGAAACTTTTGTACACTAAAAGTATACAAAAAATTTGTGTACAAAATGTAATTGTTTTAAGACTTGTTTTAACAAAAAATAATTAAACATTTTGTAAAAGCAAGTTTGGAAACAATACAATAATTTTGTATTTCTGTAAAGTATCAACAAGTGGTGTAAGTAGCTTATCTCATTTAATCTATCATGTGATAAACTTGTTATTATTTACCATCATTTTGCCTCCATTGTTGATATATGAGAATGATTAAAAGATCATCTTTAACCTTGAGATAATGGGTTAGCACAAGTTATCACTTTAAACATCAATCAATGTCAACTGGTTCTTTTTTGAATGAACATAGCTTATTATATTAATACAATATAATAAACTATGTTAATACAGTACAATAAACTATCTATATAGTACTTTTTAGTGAACTACCTCATATGGTGCGCTGCTAACATGTCAAAAAGATCTCTTCCTTTCATACCTACTGTTGATGCAGATATTCTTCTTATCTCTTTAATACTATCATTTTCCTAATAAACTAAAACCTTGTGCCTTGTAATTTCATATAAGCTTGCTGTTGTTGTCCTACCATTGGACTAAGTTGATTCTAGAATTGGCATCTGCTAAGTATTTATGGCGCCACAACTTTTTTTATAAACCTTTGTTTAGAATAATTCTATAATAGCATACGTCAATCTGTCGCAATGTATTTTTTCTATAACCTATGAATGTTTTCCCTTTCTTTTATTTTCAAGTTTAGTATAGAAGTAAATTGTTTTATTTTCAAGTTTAGTATAGAAGTAAATTGTCAAAAATTTTGATCCTTTTTATTTTTTATAATGACCTTGCTAGTCTATGAACAACATTGTTATTAATAGCTCATCATCATCTGTCTCATTTTTAAGATATCCTTCAATACATTTCAAAATATACTTCAATAATATCTTATACACCAAATCATGTGCAAAAATTGGATATTCATTTAATGTTTTTTTGTTAAAAAATTTATGAGCTAACATTTTAACAATGAAAAAATTCTCATCAATTAAGTAGTTTCCTTCAGAAGCAATTATCTTGACATAATAAATTTTAATATGATTTTAATATGAGATATAAACTTTAAGTAAATATTTTGAGTTATAGAACTAAGTTAAATTGTTTTATAAAATCTGAACTTAAAATCTAAAGTAAACAACACTTCAAAAACATAACCATACTGCAAGAGATGTTAAATGATACAAAGCAGATTAATAATGTGCAATTGTGAAGACTTGCTTACTCTAGAGTTTTAGTTGAGATTTTTGAAAACATTTCTAAATTAATTCTATAACTACCTACACAAACACTTAAAATTTACAACTTAAATGTAAATGTTATTAAAATTTTTATGTAATTAAAAACTTTGCTGTGAATTGTTGTCAGATATACATTGGGAGCACATATGGAGAAATTGAAATATATAGAATGAAGTTATACCGTTTTTTCAATCAAAGTCTTTGTTTAAAAACAAAAATTACTTTAGGTAAGGAAACATAAAATATCATGTTTATTAATTTATTAAAAAAATGCAACCTTCTTTGAGTACAGTACTAATTAGACCTCAAAGTAGGTTGCATTTTTTTAATACTTTTGATAAAAGTTAAGAAGGCCCTAGAGTTGGAGCATAACTTTTAAGTCAAAATAATGGTACAAATACTTTAAAATTTTATATTAACATTAGGGACTTTGATAAAAATAAATAAATTCACAACATTCAAAAAAATAAAAAAATTCAAGCACTATGACTACCGAAAACATAATGGTCTCACGCACTATGACACCAAAAAACAAAACTGTATAGATCGGATTTTTTCAAATAAAACTTTCTGAAAGTAAAATTACATATTGTCAAAACGTCTTTAAACTATTTTTTAAATGTTAGTTTGTTTTTATAATGAATTTCGAAAAATTAATTTTTTATTTATAAAAATAGTTTTTTTTTTCTAAAACAATTTTAAAACATTCTACGAAATTTTTCTTTTTTTGAAACCCAACTTGATATATTTTTGGATAAAAATATATTATTTGGTAATATATGGCACCCACTATGTCGTTGAGTATCGACCAGGTGTTTTATTAATTTTTTCTTTTTTTTCTTTTTTTTTTTTTTTTCTTTTGAATGTTGAAAATTACCTTTTATTACAAACGAAAAATGTAAAAATTGCTTCGAAAATGACATGGTATTTTTTTTTTTTTTTTTTTTTTTTTTTTATAGTTGATTAAGGTGCCCCAAGAAGTCCTTACGGTCTTATCACAGTATTGAAAAATATTAAAATACAAAATGGTATTGAAAAACGGTATTGAAAAATATTTTTAAAAAATTAAAAAAACATACAATCCTTAAGGAATTTTAATAATTTATAAAAAAAAATATTTCAATTATAAGGAATATTTTATTTTTATCAATTATAAAAAATTTTTATGTTATAAAATTTTTAAAAGCTTTTATCATTTGTTGTTTTGAGTAATTTGTTATTCACTTTAAAATCATATGCTCAATTCCAACAACACCTGGGGGCACGTGCTACAATTTCCATAAAAATTAATAGTATCTATTCGAAAATCATTCATTCAAAATCCTTCAAACCATGTTTTTTTTATTTCCTATTCAAAAATGAATTGTAAATTAATGAAATTTAATGCTTTCCCAGTGGGCATCGGACCAAAAAAGACGTCTTTTGAACGTTCACAAGACGTCCAAAACGTTCAAAAGGCGTTAAAAAGACGTTTAAAACGTGTAAAAGACGTTTAGAAGACGTTTTTTACGTCCGTGTCCACTGGGTTGTGTTAACTCCAATTTTTACTCATAAACTTTTTTGAGCAAGTTTAGATGGAGTATGTTTTTAGGCTCAAGATAAGGCGTTTAAAGTTTGTCATTAAGCATAATTATAATATATATATATATATATATATATGTATATATATATATATATATATATATATATATATATATATATATATATATATATATATATATATATATATATATATATATAGATATATATATATATATATATATATATTACATAATAAAAAAGCATATATATATATATATATATATATATATATATATATATATATATATATATATATATATATATATATATATATATATATATATATATATATATATATATATATATATATGTATGTATATGCTTTTTTATTATGTAATATATATATATATATATATATATATATATATATATATATATATATATATATATATATATTACATAATAAAAAAGCATATATATATATATATATATATATATATATATATATATATATATATACATATATATATATATATATATATATATATATATATATATATATATATATATATATATATATATATATATATATATATATATATATATATATATATATATATATATATATATACATATATATATATATATATATATATATATATATATATATATATATATATATATATATATATATATATATATATATATATATATTATATATATATATATATATATATACATATATATAGGGGAGAGCGGGGTTGGTTGTCACACTTTTTACATTTTAGGCTGCTCAGCTTTTAATTTTCATCCAATCAATGCCAAACTTTGCACAAAGCTAGTTTAACTATTTCCAGTAACTATTATAATATTTTTATGACATTGAGTGAAATATTTATTGCTGTAAAATCATTTTTAGAAGACCACTTCTGTGTGACAACTAGCCCCGCTCACGGGGTAGGTTGTCACATGGTGCGGGGTTGATTGTCACATTTGGATTTTGACAAGTTTAGATAAGAATTTAATGTAAAACGAGTACAAATTAATTTCGTTTATGTTTTACTAAAAAAAAATAAAAATAAAATACTATAAAGTGAAATATATATATTTTAAATATAACACAATTAACAAATTTAGTTTATCACTATAAATGTTTTTAGGTTTGGTTTTTTAAAAATTATTGGATAAAGAACACAATTCACAAATAAACTGTTGTAAGCCTGGTGTGCATTCTTCTAACCTGACATTGAATCCACTGTTCTCTTGATCGGCTGTTGGAAAATGATTCAAAACAATAGATGCACAGATACTCTTTATCTTCAGATGAATTTAAGACTATAGAAGGTTTTTTCGTGGCAAGATTTGATTTTATTAATTCTTTTTTTTTTCCATTAGTAATTTTTTTTTATTAGTAATTTTTTTATTAGTTTTCTTCTTTTTATAATTAGCAAGCCATGCTTTGACAGGCGTGTTAGTAAGAATCATAGTTGACCGCTTTTTCCTACCTCTTTTTGATGCTAACCTCGGGCCTGCTTTAGGCAGAGGCCTAATACTCTCAGGTGGTATGATTGAATTGTTAAAACCTAATGTTGTGATTGGGTTTTGATTAGAGGTTTTATTTGATACAACTGGATCTTCTATTGTTATGTCTACCTGATTATCTGGTTTCTGAATAGATTTTTAAAATCTTTTATTTGATGGTTCTCGTTGCATTGAATGAAAATTGAAAAGACTGTGAATCTTTCACAGTCTTTTTTATTTGAATCAGCCTGTGAACAAGGTGGGTTAGGGCGATCAGTTACATAGTTAGGACAGTAATCATTTTCAGTAAACACATCAGGATTTAACGGGTAAATACCTGTTGCAGAAAAACCACTTAAAATATTGTGGGGAGATACAGCCTTAGGAAATGCAATGTTTACTATTTTTGGAATATCATATATTGTAACAGTTTTTCCAAGATTCATTACTAACCATGATGTCATAGCATTATTTATGTAGTTTTTGAGAGGACCATAAACTGCCTTATCCAAGGGCTGCAACTTATGTGTGCAATGTGGTGGGAAGGTAAGCATTACTATTCCATTATTTTTTGCCAAATCTAATCCTTCAATACTAAGATGAGTTTCGTGATTGTCAAGCAACAATAAACAAGGCTTTTCTTTAGTACATTTTGTATTGCCTACAAAATGTTTTAGATATTTTACAAAGTTTTCTTCTTTCATCTAACCACTTGGATTTGCATCTCCTGCACTTCCTGTTGGTGCACTGATTAGGAAACGATCTTTAAAGTTTTTACGAGGAAAAATAAAAAAGGGTGGAATACTATTTCCAATAGCATTTATTGTGCATGCTAATGTTACAAGAGTTCCTCTTTCAGCTGACATGATGGCTCCTACTTGTTTTAATCCTTTTTTCGCAATAACCTTTTTAGGTTGCTGTACAGTAGTTACAGCAGTTTCGTCCATGTTCCAAATGTTATTTGGTGAGAACGAGTATTTTTGCATACAGTGCTGCAAATTGCTAAAAAATGATGCAACATTCTGCTTATTGAAACTTGTCGCTCGACTTTAACTAGTAGCTTCAGGTTGCCTAATGGAAATATTTGAATGGCGCTTTATAAATCCTGTAAACCAATCCTTACCAGCTTGTTCCTTTACAACCCAAGAATTGGAAACCTTCATATTATTTTTAATTGCTAGCTGGAAAGCAAGCTTTTTTACTTCGGTAGGAGTTAAACCAAAATATATATCTGCTGCTCGCAACAGGTAGGTGACCAGTTCTTTTTCTACTTTTTCTGGCAATATCAATCAACTTTTGTATCCTATAACATTCAGGAAGGTGGGGTTTTCAATTTTGTCAATTAGATCTGCTATAGAACCATGTGATGGGTTAGTAATAATAATTTTTTTACAATAACGTGCTAATGTTCTGTAACTAATGCCATGGTTTTTTGCTGCTGATCTAATAGAAATGTTATTAATCTTTACATCTTTAACAGCACACATTATGACATCTCCAGAAGTATAACCTCTATTAGCTTTTCTTTTAAAATTTCGTACCATGTTTATTACTAAGCAAATAAAAATATTTGCAAATAATGTAAACAAAACATTAATATATATATATATATATATATATATATATATATATATATATATATATATATATATATATATATATATATATATATATATATATATATATATATATATATATATATATATATATATATATATATATATATATATATATATATATATATATATATATATATATATATATATATATATATATATATATATATATATATATATAAACCCACTAAATATAAACAATGCACAAACAAAACAACAGACAGTTTTACAAACTAAACAACAGCTAGTTGTTTAGTTTGTAAACAAAACAATAAACAGTTGAACTTCTGCAATCCTTTTTCTATAATTATAATAAACATTGGATCGGAATCTAAAGTTATGCACGTTGAAATAAAAATAATTTAGATTACAGATATTTAGTTAAACAAATATAACACTTTGACTTTAGATTTTTAAATAATATCTTAAACATTAGAATATTCCTCAATAATGCGGAAAATAAACAAAGCCAGCAAGCGGCGTTTAATTTGCAGCGCATGGAGTCGAGGCAAGTGTGACAACCAACCCCATATATTTTGTGACAAGCAACCCCTTCTGAGTAAGTTGCTGGACACCTGTACATTTACCTAAAAGCGTGAGAATTTCATGATAATTTTTTACGGATTAAGTTACTCAAATGAATAAAGTACTTTATAAATCTACATTCAAAACACAATAAAATAATTTTCGTTTGGTAAAAGAAAATTTCTGAGTAGGCGAAATTTTACTTTTTCATATCAAAAACCTATAAAAACGAATAACTTTTCTTCTGCACGCTAAAAAAAGATAAAAATTACTGTAAAAATGTTTTTTTTATATAACATTTCCATTGTATAATTTGAAATTTCTATATCTTATTTACGTTTCCTGTAATAAACTTTGTGACAACCAACCCGCGTGACAACCAACCCCGCTCTCCCCTATATATATATATATATATATATATATATATATATATATATATATATATATATATATATATATATATATATATATATATATATATATATATATATATATATATATATATATATATATATATATATATATATATATATATATATATATATATATATATATATATATATATATATATATATGTATATATATATATATATATATATTCAACGAGAACGTCATCGTCGCGTCGAACCACAAATAAATAGATTCTATGCCAGAACTCTGCGCCACGGCTGTAAAGTGCCCGCTTATTAAGGCCATTAAGACAACAAAAGCTTTTTTCATTAAATGCTCTTTGGCGGTGCGCTGTGGCAACACCTTTTGGTCTATTCAAAATACCTTAAAAACTAAAAAAAAATTGTATACCGTACTAACCAATATGTTAAGCTTTTAATTTAAAATCAATTAAAAAGATTACATTTCTAGTGAGTCTGACCATTCTTTCCACTCTAAAGTGTTTAAATCCCAAATACGATTTTCAGGCTCACTGTCACTTATTGATTCCGTTGATAAGGAGCCTTCCGGAACAATCCGGTCTTTAAAACAGCCAACCTTTTTATATTCGATGGCACACTTTTCAGCAGATACATTCCCTAAAACAAATGTCAATATACATTTTATCAACAGATAAGAATAAAAAAGTTTAATTATGCAAAGTCCAAAATAACCTGTAAAAAAGTTTAGAAATGCAAGAACACACGCTGTTGTTATCAGTTTCATTGTCAATTTGTGTTGATAGTTGTGCGTTAATAAAATTACTTTGGTGAATCTGAAATACGATTTAAAACCTAATGAGAATTTTTTGAAATTGATTAATTAATTAGATAGTGTTCTAAAAATTTCTTTATGTTTACACAGGTTCTTTTTAACTTAATTTGGCATTCCAAATCTAAATCTAAACCTCAATAAAAATGGATAATAATGTTTGCTTTTAAATCCCAGGTGGAGATAACACAAGATTCTTTTTTAATTGCACGCTTTTTCTGTTTCTCATGAGAGTATCAGATGAATGTGAAAGTAAACTTAACAAAATATTGTTTTGTAAAAGTTCTTAAAAGAAAGTATATCAAACTTAATACATTCTTACAAAATTTTATATTCTCAAGCATTTTAAACATCCATATGAAAATACTTATTTAAAAAAAAATAGTTATAAAATAAAAAATACAGACACAAACCTTTTTTTGATAGATTGGGAAAGTTGTTTAATAAATCTAAATTATCAACTGTTACATAATAGTTCAATTTTAAACTATTAAATAATTAAAACCTAATTATTTTTTCAAAGAAAAAGTTATGTATGCAAACTCGCAGTCGTAGCGCAGAAGGTAAAACACTTAAGTGTTTAAAAGCAATTAGCAGCAATTACTTCTTAATCAAAAAATATAAAACATTATAAAAAAAAGGAGGGGGGGCGGGGGCGGTGTGAACTTCCAAGTTAAAAGCATTTTTGTTGTGCTTTGTAACATGATAGTTAGGTCTTCTTAGTGCAACATTATAACTAAAAGTAAGAAACCTTACTTTAACTTAACATTAATTAGGAATAAGTACTCTTTGTACGTGCGGTTTGTACTTACTCAAAATTACATTTAGCTTAAATAATATTACCATTAATGTCTTATGTTTGCTAAAACGTTGTTAATAGTAATAACAATCATAAAAGTAAAATTTGAAATCTATATTCTAATAACTTGGATCACAAATAGTTATAAGTCAAATATAAGTGGAATTTTATAGACTAAAAATAAATAAAAGTTAATTGAGTTTGTATGATCAGAATATTTTAGTTGTGGTGCCGTTAGACCACCGCTCAGCTGAAATTAAAGATATAACAGTTTCATGAAATTTTTACTTTTATAGCTTTAATGACAAGATTACAAAGAAATTCTATACAGAAACTTATAATTAAAAAGATTCCTAAGGAGATAATCAAAACATTGGCTTTAACTTCTGCAAACTTTTTGGAGTGGCAAGAAAGTGTGATGATCGTTATCTAAATGATAAGAATAGATATAGTGAAGTATTCAACAGATAAAGCCATTTTATTTCTTGAAATCTAGATAATTATTAAAATTAGCCAAATGGTTGATCCTTTACTATTTTTAATTTAAGGGTAGATCCAGCATTTTTTTGGTATTTGAGCTAACTTCTTGGCATGGAACAAATGTTTACATGTACATACTTATATAAAATAAGGATGCTTTGCAATTAATTGTGATGACTGGAGTCTAGGAACAAAAAAAGCACTAAAATTTTGAAAACACAAGTTGAAATTTTTTTTTTTACTATTCTCAACTTAAGTTATATTCATTGATAAATTTTAAACTTCATACAATAATCTTTTAATATTCAAAAGTTGTAAAACCATATAAAATTTGTAACGCTTTTAAATTGAGGAGGTTTAACTTAGATTTATTTTATAGATAAAGAGTTGATTTGATTCTTTTGAGCTTGCGGTTTTTTATTTAATTAAAATAACTTCTATTATTTTTTAACTTTATTAATGTAAAAATAATGAAATTATCATAAGTATTTTTTTTGTATTGTAGTTTATTTCGTCATCCAGCTAACTGCCTTATTGACGTCCATCTCATAATGTTACAAGTAGGTTAACGTAAAAAATAAATATATAAGTCGTAAAATATGTACTCCGATTATCAAAGATGCACTGGGGATTCGAAAAAATCAGACATATTTTTAAAACTAAAAGACGATAGAGAATTTATATAGAACTACTATACAACTGGAAATATCAAACATTAATATGTTTATTTTTCATAATAAGCATTTCATTATATATTCATAACTGACTTGTTTGTGGTACTACCTTATTTTAAAATTTTTAAGATTGTGATGTTGACTTATTTTAAAATATAAAGTTATTAATTAATGACTTCAATTGAATTAATAGCATTATATTGCCATATAATATTTACAAATTTCAGGTTATCACTAATAAAACCTTTTGAAGGTTAAATTTCTGCAATAAAAATAACTCCAACAAATAATAACAACAGTTAAACAAATAAGAAATTTTCACTAAATAAAAAATCCTATATACAATTACAATTTCTTTTTTCAATTTTCTTCTTTCAACAAGGTAATAAACTAAATTAAAAGCAATAAATAGTTTATTAACGAGAAAAATCTTTATAAGTTTTTACTTTAAAAATTTTTTTATAATATATGATATAATATATAATAATATAATATAATAATAATTGCTGTACAAACTATTTAAGTTTGATGAGTCAAAACTACGTAGTGTATTGTCTGTAACAGCCGTTAAATGTAAAATTTTAAAAATAGAATAAAAAGTTCTTTAATAAAATTTGGTATCAAAAGTTCAAAATTTTGTCTATTCTATTTTTGAACGTGTTTTTGTTTGCAAAATCGATTGCATCTTGTGACAATAAATTCCAATCGTCGACCACTCTATTTGTTAAATAATAATACCTGGATGATTTTTTAGTATATTGTCGATGAAGTCTTTTATTATGACGATATCTGGACATGTTGTTGTAAAATTTTAAAGGCTCTTTAAACCATATATATTCAGTTGAATTTAATATTTTAAACATTTCTATTAAATCGCCTCTTTTTCTCCTTTCTTGTAAGGATGGTAAACCTAATATTTTTTTCTTTCTTCATGGCAGATGTCTTTCAGTGATTCAATCCTAGTCGATCTACGCTGTACCTTTTCAAATCTCTTAATGTCTTTAATACAATATGGGCTCCATACAGATGCTGCATATTCAAGCTGTGGCCTAATAGTTGACTTGTATAACAGCTTCAAAATGGTAACATCAAGATATTTAAATCCATGTTTTAAAAAACCTAGTGTTCTATTTGCCTTATTTGCTACACTGATAATATGATTTTCCCATTTGAGGTCATTTGATAATATTACACCTAAATCTCTTTCAACTTCTGTTTTTTGCAAAATATGATCTCCTAATTTGTAACTAAACTGAGGATACAAATTACCAATGTGCATTAATTTACACTTTTCTCCATTGAATTGAGTTGACCACTTATTTGACCAGTCTAATAACTTATTTAAATCTTCTTGAAAAGCACTGCTGTTACTTACATTATTAATTACTGACATTATTTTTGTATCATCTGCAAATAATTCTAATTTATTTAATATGTTAACTTTTAAGTCATTTATAAATATTATAAACAGAAGTGGACCGAGGACTGAACCCTAGTGAACTCCACTTGTGAGTTCCTGCCAATCTGAAACAAACTCACCCAGAACAACTCGTTGTTTTTTATTACTGAGAAATGATTTACACCATTGTAAGATATAAGAGTGAAAACCATAACCATAAAGCTTGCAGCAGAATTTTGATAAAGAAACGGAATCAAAGGCTTTTGCAAAGTCCTAAAAATACTATATCAATATTAATGCCAGCTTCTATTTTACTTGTTATAAAATATAAAGTTTCTAATAAATTAGAACAACAATTTTTACCATTAACAAATCCGTGCTGTTCGCTTGCTATTTACTTATTTAAAGCTCATAACATTGTGAATAATTTTCTCCCTAACCTTGCATTTTTCATTTTTAAAAGTAAGTTTGTAAAAAAATTGAATGATGAAATCCATATTCAAAATCTTGTTGACAATTCTTATGTAACTCCTATAGTTACATGAGAATTGTCAACAAAATACATTATTGTCCATTTTTTTCCTTTTCTTTTCCAGTTTTATCAGAAATGCTTTTTACTATCTCTAAAGTTATAGTCTTCTTTTAAATAGCGATAATAGTGTATTATTGATTGAGATTTTTAAGCACTTTTTTTTTACAATTATTATTTTTTTTTTAATAATTAAAGTTTGTAGAATAGAGAATCTTATACATTAAAAATAAATAAATAATATATAAGTGAGCAAAAAAGAAACTTGGTTACATATAAAAAATTTTTTTTACAAATTTTTATAAAACAACAGTGTTATAGTTTTAAAAAACGGGAAACTCGCAGAAGACCAGTACATTATCTCCGAGTAGGTACCAGTAAGAAGTATTAACAGTTTTGATGTAACAAGGCTGATTTTTTTAATATTATAAACGAAAGTCTATTTAACTTAGTCAAAACTCAAAATGTCTCAGTGGCTACAGGTTTATTGGAATAAGTTTTTGCTTCCATCTTTAAGAAATTCAAATATCTAGAATCGATTACTGTTGTTGTTATGCGAGAATGAAAAGTCTTGCCAAGGATCTTGTTTTAAATGTAAGGAGTGTCTGCGGTTTTAACTTTAATTCATCAAAAAATATATAGAGGTATTATAATTTTCTTGGTCTACAAATGAATGAAAATTTGTCATGGTGAAATCACATAAACTTAATTGAATCAAAAATACCATCTGTAATAAGCATTTTATATAAATCTTGATCACTTATTGATTTTACTTCACAAAAAAAAACTTTTCAATTTATATCATAGTTATCTCTCATATGCCAATTTAGTACGGGCTAATGCACATAGAACAAAATTAATTAAAGAATAATGTTTGCAAAATCATGTGTTAAAAGCAATTCTTTACATATATATATATATATATATATATATATATATATATATATATATATATATATATATATATATATATATATATATATATATATATATATATATATATATATATATATATATATATATATATATATATATATATATATATATATATATATATATAATATACAATAATATGGTTATATCAAATAATTACTATATCAAAATATGTTTTGCTTACGCAGATTTTGCTGAAACTTGAACTAAACAATGCTATTATAAAATCTTTAGAATTAATGCATACTGTTCTAATATATGGTTCTTCATAAGATACCAAAAAAAATGTATCGTTTGGATTACAATTATTTGAATTGGAGAAATATCAGCATGTCATATTTTATAATGAAAAAAATAATCAAGAAACAAAGTAGGGTTTTAAGAAGATAAAAACATAAAAATATCTGACAAATAAAAAATAAAAAAAAGAAAAAACATGTAAGATATGATAAATTAGTACTATTAGTATGCTCTTTTTATATGATATTTATTACTTTTGTTTTTTCATTATTTTTGATCCATATTTTATTTATTTTGTGACATTTTTGTAACAACGCGGTCCCTGAAAAAAAGAAGTTTAAAAACCGCTTGACCAATATATATGAAATTTTCAAAGTGTATACTTTAAATTGGAGTTTTTGCTTTATACAATGAAAAGATAATCTTTTTAAAACGTTTTATAAACAGAAGAAATTTTTAAAAGCGCTATATATATATATATATATACATATATATATATATATATATATATATATATATATATATATATATATATATATATATATATATATATATATATATATATATATATATATATATATATATATATATATATATATATATATATATATATATATATATATATATATATATATATATATATATATATATATATATATATATATATATATATATATATATATATATATATATATATAATGATTGAAACATGCAATAACATTTCTAATGCTTTACTTTAAAAAATATATGTTTTTGAAGTGCCTATCTTCTCAAAAGAAATAAAATATTCACATTTTTTTCTTGTAATGAAATGTTCTTTAATAAATTTTTCTTTTTAATAATTCCTTGTAAATAATTGTTTCGTTTATCTTTAGTTAGTTGGCGACTTTATTCCACGTATAAGTATGAAATAAAATCTCATTTGAATTTATAATTTTTTTGTTAAAAAATTCACAAGTGCAAATAATAGTAAATAATTACACAACTATTAGTTTTAATAAAAGTAGCATTAAACATATATTGTAGCATATATACAATATACATGTTTTACATATTTTTTATCTCACTATTTTGTGCGGCTATTTAACATACTTAGCTATCAACATTAGAAATATGTAGGAGGTTTAAAAATCTCTCATTTATTAAGGTAAGAAATGGTTGCTACCAGAAATTTAGAAGCAATCTCTAAAGAAACAATTTTAAAATTTATTTTTCATTTAGTTATCACGTTAAATTGCCATTCCAAATCAATATTATTGTTGCAAACAATAATACTTGTTCAACTAACTGAACTTTAGTTTTTCCCATTTTTCACTTATTTGTGAAGAATTAAAAAATTGCGCTTTTATTAGTTTAAAAAGTTATTATTTTTTTCCCTATACCTATTATTCAAATATACCTATTTTGTCATATACTTATTATTCAAAAAATTAGACTGGGGCTTTTTTAGCCTTAAAAACGCTTGAAGCATTTTAGTAATTATATTTTTCTTAGCATTTTCTTGTTTTTTAAAAATTTATATAAACTTGTTATAGAATTAGGAAGGAGTTTCATTTTGTTTATTATAAGTTGTGTTAAATATGATGTTAATATATCGTTTTTTTTTAATTGTCATTTTAATAGTATTTTCACATGATTTCATCGGAGAACTTAAAAAGAAAAATCAGAAATAATTAACTTTTTGTGTCGAAAATTTTGACTTTCTATTTATTTAAGTTGATTTTAATAAAATTATTTTATTTGTAGATAATGCAGCTTTGTGTTTTTACATTTTTAATTTTTAGTAATCAATAAAACAGATACAAGTTCCTGTTTTTTGATCATAGTTTCGTATTCTACTACGAGTTTTCATTTTAGTAATAATGCTTTTGATAATTTTTTTTGGCTTTAGAATCAAAAGGTCCGAGGTTAGATTCCTGTTTTGGCCATTTAAGTAATACCAGTATGAAAGGTGTTGTGAACTTTCTTATTAAATGCTCTTTCACGGTGCTCTGTGACAAGACCAACAAGGCATTTTCAGAGTACATTAATTACCATAAATAAATAAGACCGAAAATGACCCGTTTTACCCGTCCAAAACGATTTTCCTATTATTAACCGAAATATCCTAGTTATAAAAACAAAACAAAAAAACCTTATTACTTCTAAACTTAAAGCCATACTTTAAGACTTTAAAAAATAAAAAATCTTATATTTGCATAATATTAAGTAGCTACGTTTTTAATAAAAAAAACTAAAAGTATTCAACCGTTCGTTTTGTTTATAAAAATATACACTATTTTACTTATTTACAATATAATAAATTATATAAGTCTAAATTTATCATAATCTTCTTCATAACTTCAGTTTTTCTCTAAATCAAGAAAAAAAAAAGAGATTAATTTCAATATAAAACTTTGTTATCTTTGAAATATTCAGCATAGTGAAACAACTTACTTCCTTTGCACGACATTTTAATTATCTGGTTAATCTTATCGTTTATGTATTTGTATCCATTTAGTAGAAACACATAGTCGCTGTTTGATGCCATTGAAGTCAGCTCGTTTTTGTCAATTTTATCGCCAACTCCCATAGTAATTATACTTACTTTGCTCTGTGTCTAAATTTAAATTTCAGTTTGCTTTAATTTATTCTATATATTTTAAAATTGAAGTGATAAGCTAAAACTTTATTTTTAAGGATGTAAGCTCACTGTTTGTCTACGGAGCAAGCAAGTTTTAATGATTTTGTTTGTTATATGAAATAAATTAAATTATTCATTTTGAAACAACATTAACGTATACTAATAGTTAAAAGACTAGATTTAAATTTGTTTATAGAAAATTTAACTAAAAGTCTGCCTACTTTTATTAAATTGGCCTCTTTTTCTGTAAGATCTGGATCCGTACTTTGGCCATCAGTTAAAACTATGAGAAGCTTTGGAACAGTGCGTCTCAAATTGCATTTGTCACAGAATATTTTTTCTCGAGCTAATTTTATAGCTAAATCCGTTTTTGTTCTTCCTAAAACGAAAAGTTTAAAAATTTGTAGTATAAGTTTTGCAATATACGAGTTTAAATATGTTTTTACATGTCTCATTTATATTTTTATATCGAGTGAAAATCGATGTTACCTCGAGAATATTCTATAGATCCAACTTTTCTACTAAAAGCCTCCTGGCTCCAATATTTTGGATCTAAAATATTTATTTGAATTTGAGCTTCATTGGCAAAATCGATGACAGCAAATCGAACACCAGTAGGGCCCATTACAAACTCTTTTGTAAAACTTTGAACAAATGAAACTGTCTTTTTCCAATTGGTGGATGTGACGCTTGTTGAAGCATCCAGTAAAATAGCAACCTCCATTTGTTTAGCACATACTAAAGATTATTTTTAATTATTTAACTTTTTTTTATTTTTAATTTAATTATGTGTATTTATTCATCTTAAGTATTGACTGATTGTTTACCAAATAATTGTTATTATTTATGATACTATTTTGTATATCAAAATTGATATAATCATTTAAATGGATATAGAAAATTAATATAAAAACAAAGAAACGTAAAGCTATCAATAAAAAAATTATAAATAGCATTAAGAAAAAGCGTTTTTATTTTCACAATAAAACAAAAGTCTCAAATTTTAAAACTATAAAGAATGTTTTAAAAAACAACAAAAAAGTGTAAAAGTTTACTATTTTAATTTGGATTTTTCTTACCAGGTTCACAAGCCTCCGAGTTACACACCTCTTCTTCTTCACCTTCTCCTTTACATCCTTGACCTCCGTTCTCAGGCGCTGGATTGTTACAAAGCCTCTCGCGAGCTCTAACACCACCGTTACAACTTGCACTACATTCTGTCCACTCACTCCAGTCGCTCCAACCTCCATTAATTGGTGACTTTTGTACTGAAAAAAAATGCGCAATTCATATTCAATCTGATTTTTATCAAGTTTCACTCTGTTTTTTTATTTTTGTATTCTATCTTCTCAATGTCACGTTGCTTTTGTATTAAAACATATTTTGTTTTATACCTGTCTCAAGAGTGTAAATATAGTTTGTGTAGGCTTTGCCAACACATTCTGTGGGAGAAGAATCATTGCATGGCTTATAATCATTTCCAATACAATTAGTTGAAGGTCCATCACGATAGTAATTGAGGGAAGATCCGCTCCAACATTCTCCAAAAAACTGTAGCCCAAAGAACTTAAATCCAAAAGATTTAGCCTTTTCAGCGCATGCGCAAGCCAGACTTTTTTTAAAAACAAAATTATAATAAGTATTTTATGCATTTTCAAAAATAAAAAAATCACAATCCATATTCAAAAGAAAGAGTAAATTTAATGAGCAGTTTTATTAGACAAAATTATCAAAATATTTGCTTACGCGCGAAGGGACTCTGGCCATTCATTCCAATCTAAAATATGTGAATCCCAATTGGGATTCATAGGGTCTCTGTGGTTAACTAACTCAAGAGGTAATGGACGGTTTGGTATAATGCGGTCTTTAAAACAGCCAATCTTTTTATACATTGCCATACTACATTTTTCAGGTGGAGCTTTTCCTGCCAAGATAATTTTTTTAATATATTTAAAACTGTGTTTTTTTATATATTCAAAAGTGTTTTTTTTCTAACATTGAGCAATGACGGATCCAGGAATTTTGGTGGGAGAGGAGAGAGGGGGGGATGTTAAAATATTTTCTGCATATATATAACTATATAACATTTGAGTGTCTTAAAAAGAAAAGAAAAAAAAAGTTCATCTATTTCTAAAATTTTTTAGGATTTTCAGAACCTGGTGGAAGGGATGCATACTCCCCACACTCCTAAATCCGTCACAGACATTACAATATACAAAATGTTTCAATAAAATACCTGCAACGTATTTAGCTACTAGCAGTACGAAAACTTTAAGTATAAGTTTTGTTGCCATTTTTAAATCCCAACAACCTCTCCTAATTTAATAAAGAAGGCTTTAATTTCTAATAAAATTTATTGACTTTTTTAAAATCCTATATTTGAACAGGTTGGTTTTATTTTGCAACAAAATCGAGTTTGTTAAAAATAAGATAAATGTTTTTGCGTGTTTGATGTTTGCTTTTTTTCCCTCAGCTGTGTTTACCGTTTATTTAGCATGAGAGTCAATGTTTAGTATTTTTAGAAAATGTCTAGTTAGTAGATAATTGAGAAAATTATTTTAGTCATTATTTCTCATGAAAAATTTTTAACCCCGTACATGACGCGATCGGTGAATTTTTTCCACTTAACATCAATTGGTTTTCAATAATTTAATACAATAATTACTGTGTTATTACTTCATCATTTTAACGAGCTAGTTATTTACTTTTATATCTATATCTATCTATCTTTATATATATATATATATATATATATATATATATATATATATATATATATATATATATATATATATATATATAATATATATATATATATATATATATATATATATATATATATATATATATATATATATATATACAACTTTTTAACTATTTAGTTTATTTTCAAATTTTCATTAATAAAGACTCATTAGAAATGACTCATCGTGATCAATAAGGACTCATCAGAAATGATTTTCTGCTAAAATAATTTTTTTTTTTGATACTTATTTGTTATTTTATTCATTCATATTTTCACTGTTTTATAAGAGACGCCATTATTAAAACAATTTGAATTTATATAACTAATGTATATGATTAATATAAACCACTACCAATGCAGTTGCGGACAAAGTTGAAGAACACTCGCCTTGTAAACGGGAAGTTCCGAGTTACCACTTCCCTGCTTGCACCGCACTTAAATTTTTCTCGGCGCAGCGATGTTGGTTGTGTTTCAAAGTTAAAAAAGTGAGATTTGGTTGTAATCACAAAAAAATATAAAAAATAAAAATGGTAGTGAGTTGTAGCCCTCTCGACTGTTGTGACCCCCTCGGCCTTGGACAGGAAAATCAATAAAAAAAGAATACTTAAATATTTATGTCACGATAATAATAAGAATAATGCATATGAAAGTTTACTATACATAATTTGTTTTTTTTTTTGTGAGAGTTAAGTTAACAACTTGTTAAAAACAAGCATTTAATAAATATAATATTTAGTCTTACTCAGCATTTTAAACATGTTTTTTTTCATTGCGTTTGAAAGTCATTGTATTGAGAAGTCATTGTATAACAAATTTCTTTACTTATGGTAAAGTTTTCTATGCATTATTCTTATTATATTCTTAATAATGACCGTTGTCCCGGTTTTTACGTTGGAGAGCGCAGTGCTAAATTAATTTTAAATAGTTTAGCGATGTGCTTTCCTACGAATAAACCGGGACAATGTTCGCCCTACTTATTATAGTCTAAAGTAGATCACTTGTTGTAAAGTATTGTTTTTAATTCAAGTTAGTGCTATTTAAGTAAAGCATAGGTTGTATTAAAAATATCATATGCTTATAAAACGTACAGCTTGTATAGTGACAGTTGTATAGTTGTACAGTTGTACAGTTGTATATGCTTGTTTTGCGTTTGTTTGTTAAGCTTGGTCAAATTTATTCAAAGTAGTTCAAACTTTGATTTTTTGAACTTGGGAACTCAAAGTGGTCAAAACGTGTCAAATTTGCTAAACTTCAAATTCAAATTCAAGTTTATTCAAATTTTGTTAAATTCAAATTTTGTAAAATTAAATTTATATTATTTGAAAAACCAAACTTATTAAGTTAAAAGCTTTGGATAAATTATTTTCAACTTTCAAGGAATCCGTGGCTCAGTGTTAAGAGCGTTATACTCATAACCCAAGGGTTATAAATTTAAATTCCGCTTGAACACATAAGGGCTGTCCGTTAAGTTGGAATTAGGAACCAACTAGTCAAATGCTAATCACTATATAGTGGTACTCAGCGATAAGACCATCTGCGATAAGACCATCAGGTCTTCTAACAGTTTCCTTAAAAAAAATTGTCCAGAAAAAAGTGACAAAAAAATTGCTTATTCTTTTTTTACAGATTTTTAAACAAAATTAATCATGTCAATGCGTTAAATACAAATGGTTGATGGGGTTCCATCTCTAATGCTTGAAAAAACCTAAAAAGCGATAACGCATGAGAACTAAAATCCAACTTGTTCTTTTTTTCGGTACCTGCTCCCTTGACGAAAACAAGTTCCTCTTTAGCATCGCTCCAACAGCATTGTATATATTTGTATATACATTGGATAAGCGGCCTCTAAATAGAATGATACCAAATGATATTAAATTTTTTTAAGTATAACAACAAAAAATCTTGATATTTGATTTAAAAATCGAATTTTTTAAATAAAAGTTAACTTTCACCCGATGAACCAAAAACATTAGTTTCAAAATTAGAGTTGAATCTGAGTGCTCAGGTTGTTCTCTTATCTTATCTGAAATCATCTCCGATTGGTTTTAAAATTTATCCAGCTTCTTAGTATCAACCAGTCTTTTAAATTCAATGCTCCCTCAAATGAAACAATTGCTCTGGTCTCGTCGAGATGGAAGGACCTAATGTAAGCCTTCAGACAGCTGATTTTGGAGATTGATGTAGACAATCTTTCCACATATTGGTCCTGCTCCTGCCGGCACCTTAATTTGACAAATGACTTTGGGATGTCTTTTTTAGATTTTTGAAAAACTTGTCCATAATTCTTGAGTTTTTTTAATCATTTTAACTTACTTTTAATTTTTCTTTAAAATCAAACGCGCCTTTTTCAAACAAGATTTAATGATAGTTATATTATTTTCAGGTTTCCATAATGTAACGATTGCTACACGAACAACTCCCTTTAGACATTTTAAAACGATTTGCATAGTTAACTTTGGACAAGAATTAGCGTTTAATGTAATACTCTTTGACAAGTGCTAAAGATTGCTAGACTAAAATTTTTTGAGGTATTAATTGAGCCACCAAAAGGAATTCTAACTTGAATGCTTATAAAACTCATAGAGCTAAAAGTTCAGTATAAAAAAACTTAATATTTTGGCACCTCTTAACCATTTTCGCCCGTTATAAAATTTGATAAAATTTGAAACTCAAATATGAATTTAAAATTTTTTCAAATACGTGTCCAATAGTAATAATAAATAATAAATAGAATTCGAATCTGAAAACCAAATTCGAACTTAAATCTGCTTTTAGTAATCTAATGGTTGTGTTAAATTTATTGATTTTTTTTTTTGTTTAGTTGTAAGAAATTTATTTCTTTGGCTATATATCCATGTTCATAGTTTTTTAGGTAAATTATTTTTCTTCTTTACTTTTTATTCATTTATTCCGTATTACGGAATTTTCATTCTTCGGTCATAATACCTTTTTTTTTTGTTTTCTTTATTGTTGATACACTTTTTCTTCTTCCACACTACACACTTATGTACATAGTGGTTCTATTTTGTGGGTAAACATTTTCAATATCGCAAATTGAATCTCGTATAAATAAAAGTATTTGCCTGTTTGAACTGATTTGGTTGGTCATATAATTTCTTTGCTGTACTTCATTTTGTTTTTCGACTTAGTAATTATGTACAGGTCGCATATACTCACATATACATGCATATACATACTCATGCATACAAAGATACAAGTTTATTGTTTTTTTAGATGAAGAACGATAGAAATACGCAATTATTAGTCAGTATTAAACCAAACAAATTAAAAAACGAACAGATGTAGTAAAAATTTTGTGTTTTTGCTTAATTCAAATAAATCAGTCTAGAAATAAAATCATCAGAAATATATGTTATTTCTAAGACAACCATTGTGGTTGTCTTAGAGATGATTTGTATTTTTGATGAGGAAGATGAAAATTTGAGTTATCAAAATTTATGGATTTAATCCAACTTTCTGTTGTTAAAAAGGTTGTTAGTTTCTTCTATAAGATTGCAAAAGTTGTCAAGCTTTTTAAATTAATATAGAAAGTTCTCATCTGATCATAACTTTTGACGTTAGTTTCCTTAAAAAACATTTTTACTCGCTATAGTAATGATACAAACAATTAGAAAATAAATCATAAAAGAAATTTATGTAGGGCCGTAACTAGGAGGGGTGGGTTGAGTAGGGTTGTTGTCACCATCTTTTGATAAAATGGACCCGTTTCAAAACTTTACTAAATCTGTGAGTTTTTTTTTTTTTTTCATTTAACCCTTTAAAGTAATGTTGCCTCAAGATTTTTTTTCAATTTTTATTTCCGCACGGAAAAAAAAATTTAAAAAAATCTTGAGGCAATGTTACTTAAAAGAGTTAAATGAATTTTTTTATTTATATTAAACTTAATAATTTATAGAAACAATAAAAAGACAAGTAAATAAAAATACTAAGTATAGTAGTTACAAAGTGCTTGAAAAAGTACTTAATTTAAATGCAATTATACAAAAGTAACAAGTTTAACGTATAAAACGCAACACAGCATAATCAATGACTCAATTTGAATACGTCTTTGTGTTGTTATAGACCACTTTTTTACCAACATGTCAAGATCTATATTGTCCACTAAATCTTTTTCTGACGCCGACAAAATTAATGAATCTAATCTTGCATCTGACATAGTAGAACGCAAAATATTTTTAACAATTTTTAATTTGCTAAATGTTCTTTCATGGCTTGCAACAGACACTGGTGTTGAAGCCATTAGCTTGAAAGCTTTAAAAACTCCTAGGAATTTTTTTTATCTTTGCCACGACAGTTTTAATTTTTCATTGCTTGTTGGAGCATCAGATTTGGTAAATGTGTTCATAAAAATTTCTAACTCTGCATGAAATAAATGAGCATCTGTATTTAATCCATTATTTGGCATTAAAAGGCACAGTTTTTCGACATCTTTTATTGTGAAGGTTTTTGTTGACTGCTGAAGAAGAGAAAATGGTTCAATGCTCAACCATGAAACCAGTAAATTTTCATTCGTTTCGTAAATAAGACAGTCTAACACGCAATTAAGTTGTTGGGTGTAGTATTGATAGATATTTCTAGAACATAGCGGATCAGGATTGTTATCATAGCGTTTTGGAGTTGCTCTT